CAGCACTAAAAGACTGAATATATCCAAGTGTGTCACCTATTCATCCAGTTTGGCATGATTAATTTGAAAATGAACAGCGTTATGATTGGACATCAGATTCTTGTGCACACAACAGTTTTGAAATAAGCTACATGTATACCCCAGGTGGCCAATAACTAAATCCAGAGTGTGGCTAAATTTCAGGGCAGGGCAAGAAATAAACTGGAAAAGGAATTTTAAAGCCTCTTGTTTTACTGCCTTATTGACAAGGACACTAAAGTCACCAAGCATGACAATCTTGCCATAAATAATGGACATTTCAGTACCAAAGTTCCAAATTCAGTAAGGAAATCAAAAGATTTAAACATGTTGGACTGTGATAGTGGTAGTGTGTATATGATGACAGAAAATATTGATCCTGTTTAATCTGTCAGTGCAACACGATCAAACGTGGTTGTAGCGATTAGTCAAGGTACCATTACGAAAATTACATGTACAGTAGTTGAGATTTATGATTGACACCTATGTCTCCATAGAAGTCAGTACAACCACATGGAATATTGATGACAGAATAACCAAGAGGGGAAGATTTACAAATAATATAATTGTCATGATATAGCCAGGTTTCAGTCAGAAAAATGGCATAAAAATTTTGTCCAATGATGTATTCACAAAGAATGGCTGTCTTGTTGATAAAATGGGCATTTCAAACACAGACACTAAACTTCTTGGGTACACATTTGAAAGTGAGGATACAGAGGATTTTCAGTCACATGAAAGTTGATGATCAGAACTCAATTTACACTGATAAGCATGGAACACAAGCGCCTTCGAAGTTTCTCAATATTCTGGCATACATGAAATTGGCATTAGAAATAACCGGATTTGAAAATGCATTCGTCTCCACAGACATTGTACACTTCCTGAAATGCCTTTGCCCATCATCTTACGTCACGTCAAAAACCTCCATTGTTGGGCTAGTAGGGTGCTTACATGTACGCTTACACTAGCCCTGTGCTATGGAAAACAACTCGACTGGTCCACTGTGGTGTTGCTTAAAAGTTCCAGCTCTGCATGTTCTATGGGTGGGGGCTTTAAAGGATGTTCATTGATTTGACTGAATGCCAGACATTAAGGGAAAACCTTGCATTTGGGTTGCAGAGTTAATAGAAGTTTATCACAAGAATAACGTAGATCAGGAGAAGTTGTTGGCCTTGTGATTGTGTCATGAAGGTTACAACGGTAGGCGATTGGGGTTAATATCACTAGATCTCAATAGTCGAATTTGAAACGTAGCAGTTAAATTGCTATAATAGGGTACTCTTGTCCCTTGAAGGCTGCTACAGATCAGCCATTTACCAAAGATATGGGGAGAAAAGTTTCTAAATTGTAGGCCGGTGTAGCTTGCATGGTGATGCACAGATTCAGGACAAGACTTAACACAGAACACCAAGCAGGTCTCACTGTTCAGGTTGCAACATATATGTCGAAGAGTTCAAGAGACAAAATATCAAGTGGTCACCTTGTGACATGGGGTGGAGTCCCTTTGTGCTTCTCTGCTGATCTGATAGCTCAACTAGCCAAGCACAAAACAACAAATGTCTCCACTTGGTTGTAGGCAACAAGCCGGTACGAAATCAGCCTCCTAGTCTGCCAAGTTTAACTTTGAGGATACATTGGTTCAAAGTTCAGAGCTATAGGTAAATGGTAATAATGCAGAAATACTGAACTGGACACAGAGTGAGGCAGCCTGTAAGGAACACACCATTTTTGAGAATTATGCAATTAAAAACGGACACTGTTATATATGTGCACGTATATGATAGTGGTTACCAAGTGTGTGACATCTAGATGAGAAAAATGTTTTTTAGTAAAAACAGGAGCCGAGCGACTTTGGTACATCGCCAAATGTCACCATCCAAAAATTGGTCTGTAAGCACATGACCCGCCAAATAAACAGAATAGAATGGTAACATGGTGTCTGTAAGTTCTTACACTGGGCTTCTAATGAGGAAATATTGTGCGATGGCAGTGGATTGACTCAGATTTCCTCGGATTGCAAACCTCTAATTTCAACAGTCACGCTCATAGCAGCTGTACCAACATGTGAAGACACGACAAAGGTTGCAACCCCATCCTTGTTCCCTGTTGTAGGAGACCTTTCATTTGCATGTTGCCCATACACACTGGGTATGAGGCTGTGTTTATGTGGTTTTACTGGAACACACCAGCAAGTGTAGGCTTGGCACGGTACACAACGCATGCTCGTAACACTTTACGAACAGGACACGATTACAATCATGGTGGGAAAAGTCTACAAATTCAATTTGTGGCAACAGCTGCAAATTTCTTAGACATTCTAAATTTACAGATGGGTTGATTGGGACAACTGGGCAAACTAAAACTTTTGGCAGCGATAGAGCAGTAGCGTACCTGCTCATAACCGCTCAGGACACCACCTTATGAACGTTACCATACACTAAGATGACTTTACAAAATACACAATTTGTCAGTTATTCAACTGAACATACGTACAAGCATTCAAGAGGCATTTATATAACAACATCAAACACAACAGAAAAAAAATCAAACGACATTTATAACAGTAATTATAGACATTTAATCCATCCCTATTGCCATGTCACATTTTGGTGTCTCATTTACAACTGTTACCATCATGTTTAGTCCTTACAAAAATTTGGTGGTTGTGTTTATGTTAACAATATTACTGCACTTATAACTTCATGTGTTGAGGCCCACATGAGATACATTTTTTGGGGGACTACACATCTAGGTTTTTGTTAAGCAGGTTTTTACATGTACATGTATATACCCAGTATCATGTCTCTCCAGTATTAAATAGTTATAAACGATTGATGTGTAAATAAATGAAAATGAACATGAATGGGTAATCAGTTTGGGGAAAAAACCATGCCCAGTTACTCAGGGCACAGAATATATTGCTGAAAGATCCCAAGATATAACTTAAAGTGAGACTAGAGGTTTTGTCTGTCTTAAGGACAGAGCAAAGGGCTTTTTGCATTTTTGTTTTTTCTTAAGAAAATGTCATCTCTTCATTTGACATACCAGATTTCTCACTTCTTACTTAAACATGTATCCAAGAGCTACAGATAATTCCAAAAGTTTCTTACAATATTTTGGTGACCTCATTATGACGAAATATTCAAACCCTTTTGAACATTAAAAGACATAACGAATTACAATTTGCACCCTTTACACGCCATCCAGCTCCAAAGAGTGCACCTTTACTGTCACATTACTTATCACCTGATGAAGTCATCCTCACATGAGTTCAATGTGTCTAAATCACTCCCCTTTCAAGAAATCTCCAAAGTATGATCCCAATAAGATAAGCACTCACATGATATAGTGCATTGAAGAGTGTACCTTTAACCACTTCCTGCCAGGGATTCCAGTATCGGACATGTGTATACTTTATATGCTTGGCTGGGGTCTCCCAAATCGGACAAAAGGAACTTGGCCTTGTAACAAAAGACTGCTGGGCATTACCAACATTTTTCACTCTCAATAGTGGAGGTAATCCAGCCTTGTCTTGAAACAGTATACCACAGTTTCAGGAATTTAGAGCGAGCAGATTACCATCGGGGACAAAAGTGCTCCACCACTGCAGCGATGAGCCACACAGCACTGCTGCATCTGCATGCTAATTTGGCCCCTATTGAAAAGAGGTCAGCAGTGCACTGTGCCAGTTTGTGAACAAAAGAAAGTTATAAAACACAATCTGGGCTCTTTTTACAAGACTGCAGGCCTGGCTGAAA